CCCTCCTGCACAGCCTCACCCCCACGAACAGCAGCACAGACAAGAAGAAGAGAGAAGACACAGAAGCCAAGGCAATGACCAGGTACAGTGTGAGCACGTCCTCATCCTGGGCGGGGTCGCGCGCCACCTCTGGCAGAGGCAGGTAGGGCTGAGAGAAGCCATCCACCAGCAGCACATGCAGAGTGACACTGGCAGACCTTGGAGGATCTCCATTGTCCTTGACCAGCAGCAGCAGCCTGTGCTTGGGAGCATCGCGCTCACTCAGCAGCCTGGAGGTGCGCACCTCGCCGTTGTGAGCCCACACGCTGAACAGCCCCGGCTCCGTGGCCTTGAGCAGCTGGAAGGACAGCCAGGCATTCTGGCCAGAGTCTCGGTCCACTGCCACCACCTTGGTGACCAGGTAGCCTGGCTCTGCCGCCCTGGGCAGCAGCTCTGTGTAGGGTGCAGAGGCGTTCTGCAGCGGGTAGAGCACGAAGGGCGCATTGTCGTTGGCGTCCAGCACCAGCACTCGCACCAGAGCCTGGCTGCTGAGCGCAGGAGAGCCTTGGTCTGTGGCGCCCACGTGGAACTCGAAGGTCTTCAGGGCCTCGTAGTCCAGCGCCCTGAGCGCGAACAGCTGCCCGTTTTCTGCGTTGATGGAGATGATTGAGGAGAGGGCCAGCTGCGGGTCGTGGGTGGGCAGCAGAGAGTAGGTGATGTGGGCATTGGAGCCTGAGTCTGAGTCTGTGGCGCTGATGGTGCCTATGTGCAGGGCGGGGCTGTTGTTCTCCTGGACAAACAGGGTGTAGGAGGTTTGTGTGAAGGCGGGAGAGTTGTCATTGACGTCAGACACCTGAACTGTTATGGTGTGCTGTGTTGTGAGCCTGGGTGTGCCCATGTCGGTGACTGTGATGGTGATGTTGTATTCAGCTCTGCTCTCTCTGTCCAGAGCTCCCTCAGATACTATAGTGTAGAAGTTCTCTACAGATGGTTTCAGGATGAATGGGAGATCATTCTGGATGGAACAGGTCGCTTTACCATTATCTCCAGAGTCTAAATCAGCAACACTGAAAACAGCCACCACAGTCTCTTCCGAATTCTCAGGGATAGGACTGTTAACTGATGACAAAGTCAGTTCTGGTGGGTTATCATTCACATCAACTACCTGGACTATGACTGTGCATTTTCCCGAAAGGCCACCACCATCTTTGGCCTCTATGTCAACTTCGTAAGTATTAATTGTTTCGTAATCCAACGCCTTAACTAACTGTATATCACCAGTAGTGGGATTTAGTTGAAAAGTTTTGAGAATTTCTTCAGAAGCATGGAAAAACACATAGGATATTGCACCAAAATTCCCCGCATCTAAGTCAGAAGCTGAGACCGTGACAATGACAGAGCCAACAGGGCTCTTCTCTAGAACTTGAACCTCATAGAGTGACTGTGTAAATTCTGGGGCATTATCGTTTATGTCTAAGATCAGGATGTGGACCTGGGCAGTGCCAGACCGAGGTGGGGATCCTCCATCCAGGGCTGTGAGAGTTAAACTGAGCTCTGGCTGCTCCTCCCGATCCAGAGCTCTGTCTAGCACTAGTTCTGGATACTTTCTTCCATCCCTACGACGGCGGGTGCGAACGTGGAAATGGGACTGGGGAGAGACCGTGTAGTTCTGGAGTCCGTTTCTTCCCACGTCCAGGTCCACAGCATTTCCCAAAGGAACTACTGTCCCAGGTGGGGAGCTTTCCAGGACTTTAAGCTGCATTGCATTTTCAAAGAACTCCGGAGCGTTATCATTTATATCTATGACCTCGAGCTCATTTGTAATGAACTGCAAAGGATTATGCAACAATATCTGAAAGTGCAGCACACAAGGTTCTGTGGAACCGCACAGCTCCTCCCGGTCCAATTTCTCAACCAGGAGCAAATCTCCGGTCTGGTGGCTGAGCTGAAAATACTGCATGTTCCCTTTGGAGATAGCCTGAGCTCTCCTTTCAGCCAGTTCTTCTACCCTGAGCCCCAGATCCTTCGCTAGATTGGCTATTAAGAAGCCCTTCTCTTTTTCCTCGGCCACAGAATAGCGCCTAGATCCAGACCCAGCCAGAGACCCACCCAGAAAAACAAAGAGAAGCAAGACTTGCCTTTGTTTAAGGAAGCCCTCTTCTCTGGCCTCCATTGTATTTCTGCGGTGTTTTTCCAGGGGCTTGTCACCAAAAGGAGCCTTGTATTTCTCTGTGAAAAGCGCAGTCTTTTGGCGATAGCCTAACAAGTAATGTTTTCCAGAGATTCAGACTTTCCTGCTTAAAAATCTGCCCAGGTTCACAAGCGCTTGTCTTATCTCACCGGATCCCTCTGTCAATCTGAGTACGGAGTATAAGTGTCTTAATTCGCATTTTTAGTCAACAGCGCCACCATGCGTTCGTTTTCAGTTTTAAATTCTTAGAAAAGGTTTTGTTACTGGTTTTGATCTATGTCGTTTTTTCCCCCTTATGAAACCTACATGACCCTACTGAGGGAGTTTCTTGTGCCACATAAGTTAAACAAAAACTAAGCAAGTATAATACACTAAACGGAGTTAGCTATCTCTAATAAGAGTCCTCATTTACATGATTTACATTACAAGTGCACACATGAAGCAATCTGCTCTCTATATGAGTATCAGGAGTGATACGCACTTGCTCATTATTGAGTTTATTCCTAATATTAGTGGCACTGAAACTAATAGCAATTATATTTCTATAATGTCATATTACTGTACTTGATACTGACTGCAAGATAGTTGATGATAATTGAAACAGTTGATGTCATGGTGGTCACTTAACCAAGGTCCCACATGTGATAAGGTGGTTAACTAGAGACTTTGATACCAAGACTGTCCTTTCTGGCACTGCTCATCTCAAATAAGATATTCAAATTCCATACATTTAATAGCACACCTCATTCAAATACACATAAAATTATGTAAAAATTAATATTAGGTTGAGAAATTAGGGATTAACATTAGGGATTAAAATATTGATAGCACTTTGTGTCACAAGTCCAACTGCAAGAAGTGAAGAAAGTTGAGTGAGTGACTTGGGAAACATCGAAGCATATTTAAATTATAAAACTAAATATGAGAATTCTGTATTCATTAAGGCAGTGGATAGGAGACTTGAACTAAGCATTAATGAGGAAAAAGGAAAGATATATTGAAAAAATAATAGAGTGATAACTGCACAACATTCAAAGAACTATAGCAAAATCAGCTTATTATACTGTATGTCATAATATTTAGTTCCAGCAAAAGTTTTGTTCATTAAGTATCTTACAATATTTAATTATCAGTATGTCACAACTAAAACAATTCTTCTTTCAATCAGTCAAAAAAATTAAGAACCTAAAAAGTAACTGTGCTAATTATGAAATAAAAGAGAGCTACACATAAACATAACTCAAAAACTAAAGTGTTTAAACAATTGTGTGTGTGTGTGTGTGTGTGTGTGTGTGTGTGTTTAAGTCAGAGGAGTTTGGTTTTCTACTCCCATCATGTGGGTCAGGGGATGAACTCAGGTTGTCAGGTCTGTCGACCATCTCATTGGCCCATCACAAACTTTATTTTACAAAGGCATTGAAAAGTCTATGGTATTAAAGAGGGGGAAATAGAATAAGTCCATCCAGAAAATTAATAAAAATTATAATGGATCCACATATACTGCTCACAGACTTATGTCCAATTGAATCTTTAATACCATGGAAACTTTTTAGAATGGAACACCAAGCTACATACAAATTTTCTAAGTTGGGAAAAGATAAAAGCATACTCTGTTGTATACAGTTCAATTATAATAAAGTCCTGAGTAGTTTAATTAACTGGGAATGTTAATGCAATGCTTGTAATCCCAACACTCTGGATGGGGGAGGACCTGTCACAAGTTCAAGACCACAATGAGATCTTTTCTCAAAAAGAAAAAATTTAAAAATATTGAGTTCAGCACAAGAGTTTTGAAAGACTATTCGACATAAAACATAAAAAATTATCATGCCCTTGAAAATCATCCTTTAGCTATATCCTTTAGAACAGATGGATCCTTTAGTCATATCCTTTAGAACAGATGGAAATTTAAAAATCATATATATTTCAGATTTTTAAAATTTTAAAATCATAGAAATACAATTTTGATCGAGTTTGTTTTGCATTTACAATTTGAATATTTTGTGAAATCCAACAATTAGGGTTCCCACAATCTTTAAAGAATCATAAGTTTTGCATGCTGATACTTTAAAATATGTGTGTAGATAAACATGGAAAGAATATTATATTATTCACACCAGTGTAAAGAGTTTCAAGTCAGATCACAAGATAAATGTTATATTAACAAGAGAATAAATGAAAATAAATAGTCTGGGCTGCAAATTGTTACCACTCAAATAATGAGAGAAGACCATTTTAGACAGCACTTAAGAATAACCCAGAACTGGAGAAGTTACATTTGGGTAATGATGCTCTAACTCAAACTTCAAAGATTTCTGCAGGGGACAGTGCCATCCATGCACCTTTAATCCAGGAGGCAGAGACAGGTGGATCTCTGTGAGTTGGAGACCAGCCCGGTCTACATAGTGAGTTCCAGGACAGCCAGAACTACATAGTGAGGTCCTATCTAAAAATAAAAGGATTTCTGAAAACACAAATTTTACTCTCACATTAAGTCAAACAAAACTACAAGACTAATCACAATTGGAATAAAAGCAAAATTCAGATTCCTTATTCCACAGACCTTACTTATCTAGAAATACCAGTGACGTGCAAAGGATTAGAGTAAGATAGTTACTTTCACAGGAAAAGAGACTCCAGTTGGCAAAGCAGTAAAATCAAGCCTTTAACGTTTTAGCTGAGACTCGACTCCGTATTTCCTCATCAATATTTAACTGAATTCAAAACTATTCCTGCAACTGGCGTTTGTATCATTCTTTCTCTCTGAACTCTGAAGGAAGAAGTTGGGAATAACAGGCTTCAGAAACTTGAAATCTGTGGTTCCAGAGTCTCCAGTCAGACACACCTCATATTGGTAGCTCTGGGACAGGGTCCCAGTGCCGCTGATATCCACCAGGTGACCAGGAAAGTGT